TWWTYYWWTTWAWYYTACAATWYTGCATTTCTTRATAAGGTGTTTCTGTTATGAAGTATTTAAAAAACAATATAAAGCTTTAGCTTATAAGAGAAAGRAGTATTGCAGTATGGCAGGGCACCAATTTTGGAAAACGTATTGGTTCTATAAACCTGGCAGTATGTTRTACTTGCTTTTAACTGCATGGATAAGCCATCCATCCATAATTTATCCAATTACTTCAGTTTGGAAAACCAAAGAATATCTGTGTCATGACACATTCATTGTTTTGCTGTCTTAGGACTTACTTTGGCTTTAATTTTTAAAACTTCCTGCTGCTTCTCTCTTACTTTTCAGTCTTCTGTCATATATCTCAATCTTYCCTTCTCTGAGGTCTCATTAAGTCCTTTCAAAGTTGCTTGGTTGGGGAAGTACCTTTGATAGCAGAGATCACAGTGGTCATCTTTATTCCAGTGTTCAGTATTTGTGGAGGAGCAGTGACTTCTTTGTGCTAGAATGAGCCATCATTTTAGTTTAAAAGTTACTTTCACCTTTTCTGTATTGAAGGCTCAGGTGTTTAACAGTGACACACATGTGTATATGTCTTCATACACAGTCACACAAAAAAAGGTGCATGCAGTGAGTGTCTTTGAAGCTGTGATGGGGTGATTATAATCATTCTGGGTGTTTGATGTTAGCTGGGAACTGTAAAATACTTGTTACTGAATATTTTATGTTGTCATGGTGTTTTTGCTTGTGTGCAACACAGAGAAATGACCCAACAGTTWTTCAGGAATCTACAGGAAGTAGAGAGGGTAGTGCAGAGAGGGTTCTGCTGTTCAGATGGGCAATGGGATTATTTAGGTGATCCTTAGCTGTTCTTTTTCTTGCAGAAGTCTAACAGTTGCTTATATCACTTGTGAGCTGGACCCAGGCTGTTTGTAGATATCTACTAATTGGATCTGGATTTAGGATCTGTGCAGGGGACTCCCCTAACCACCACCCAAGAGACTGGGTTCTCTTTCAGCACGTGACTTGGTATTCAGTGTAAAGTAGAACTACAAGCCCACCCATATTCCATGGAGCATTCACCAGCCTACTCTTGAGGAGTGAAAGATGTGGGGCTTAATGAATTCCCGCAGTTTCCAGTGCTGAGGGGATGGCATTGACACCCCCGTCTGAAGGAATGCTTGAAATGTCCTTGTTTGGTATATAGAGAAAATTAATGGACTGAAGCTGAAAAGTAAATMAAAATCTAAACTTGAATATAGCATGTAGTTTGGGCAAGATACTCTGCAGGATTTTTCTAAGTAGTTACTTCAGTAAATTTAAGCATGGTTTTCACATAATATGGCAAGCATGAAAAGCTTCATCTTCTCTTCCAGAAGTCTTTCTAATACATACAAATTATGCCAGAAAAATAGACATTATTATTGTCAGAACTGTGAAGGGTCATGCTTACCATGTTTATTGCATTTTTAAAAAATGTGTTTAAATGGGGGTGATTCGAATTACACCAGTAAATGCTGTGCTGTGATGTTAGAGACCATAATCTGTGTTTTAGCACATAGATTGTGTAAGATTTTTGTTGTTCTATCACAGATACTTCAGCTACCACACTTCCTGTGTCATGGCTGTTGCAACTCTTCCACACTGTTGGTGGAAATCCATGTGCTTAAGTAACACTGTTAGGCAGGTTTGCAGTAAAGTGCTCTGAAATATAGTCTTCAATTATGTTTATAACTAAAGAGTTGAATTTTTATTAAAATGATGAGGACCAGAGCAGAGGCTTAAGTGATACTTGATGATGGTAAATCTCTTTATATTTGAAAATAAATCTATCTGTGAAAYAGTAGATCTTGTTTGTGGGAACTAATTTTCTCCCTCCTCAGGTGTCTGCAGTGTCTAACTGAAAATCAGAGGAGGAGGGAGGGGAAAGCTTGATTATGTTATCTACCTTAGTATTTTTATCTATTGAAGAGATACTGGGCTTTGGGAAAATGTTTGTTTCCAGTGTATTATATTTCAGTACCCACATCACTCCTACAGTCGAAGAATAAAGCTGGGACTTTTTTATATTAAAAGAGRAAAGTTGCCTTCAGCTATTAGTTTTCCTGAATCCAAAGAGACGGGTGGGGTAGGATCAAAAATACTTACTTGATCAAAGTTATTGGCTCTGAAGGTATCCTTACCTATGTAAGAAAGATGAAAGGTGTTGTTTTTATTGCACACTAGTAACAGTGTAATTTTGAACTAATTGGTGGTGAACTGCCAATCACCTTGGGGGAATGCAAATAGATACTCTTACAATTTCCTTTGAGGTACTGAAATCTTATGTCGGGGCTGGAAGAAAAACAGAATAATACCGTTAAATTGACCTTAAATGAGCTGCTTTGTGGCTTTCTCGGAGAATCCCTTCTAACTTTTCATTGCTAGTCCAAACAAGTCTTGTCTACCAATTTGATTTATTGGCTAGACAGCGCTGACATTGAACTTTGTGCGTGTTTGAAATAAAGCTAATGTTGGAGAGCTTTTAAGAATTTAGCTGCATCCTTTTCAAATACTCTTTTGACTGATCTGAAACTTTGCCTCTCTCGTAAAATATCCTTTTGTATAGCAACCTGTTGTTTGTAACTGTTTTTAAGGAGGAACTACAACAGCACTTAGATATGATTCAGAATTTCTGCTGACCTCTTAGGGACCTAATGTGATGACATTGATTTTCTGGATAGACTCCCATGAAATTAGTATTTTGAGCTCTGGATTTTTATAGTGAGGGAAGAAAACAATATATATATTTTAAATTGAGCTTTTCCTCAGAGACCCCTAAATCAGCTCCAGAGAAGAAAATATCAGATGCTGACTTGAATTTTCCTTCTTGTTTAACTGCCTCTATGAAAGTTCTTTTCCCACTCAGCTCTATACCTATCCTTTTTCCCACCTCACAGTAATTAATCATTCCATAAAACAGATGTTTTAGGCTTTTTTGGGGGGGGGAATGCATCAGCATTAAACCTTATTTTCATAATTATAATTAGCTTTGGAGTTTTTTTAAGATGTAACTTTCTCTGAAAACCTGTGTATTATGATTAATCATTAAAAACCACTGGAAAGTTAAACTGGCGTTCATATTTCAGGCACTTCAAGTGATTAGATGTTGTTATGGAACAGTGTCTGTAGGTCTTATTGGGTAGTCCTGAGATTAGAGATATTTCTATATTTGAATATTCTATATTTGAATATGTAAATATTACCCCATATCTTTATGTCACTGAAATCCAGGATAAATGTTCAGACATGGCACAGAAATATGCAAAAATGCATGTGAAAGAATAATTTGATTAATCATGTAAAAATTGCAATTTTAAACAGTTAGATGTTTCATTAATGATTTGACTGCATTGGAAAAGTCAGTATTAATAGTCTGCAATAAAAAGAGTAACCTTTTTTCTTGTATCGAGATTGCTGGATGGATGAGCAGACAACAGAAAATAAGGAAATAATGAGACTGGACTACAAAGTAGTGGTGCTGTGCCAGCAGACTAAGTGCTGTTTAGATTTTGTGGGCAAGTGATCAGATAAAAGGCTGGACAAGAATATTAATCTCATATAAATTTATTAGTGACTGTTTTTAAAAGTACCTGGAGCACAGTGCTGTTACAGATTAGCCCACAACCAACACTGGGGCCAAGGGTAGGGAATGGCCAACAGGGGAAGGGTGAGAATGGAAATTGAGCAAAACAATAGCAGAGAAGACTTTGGGTTTGTTTAGACTTTGAACTGTCACTGCCACAGAGTTATTGCAGAGTGAAATTGGCCTAGAACAGACAGGGGAAATGTGAGTCCTTAATTTATTTTCGGGTGAGATTATCAGAAATAAAAGTGATGGAAGTGGGGCAAAAGTCAGTGKAGAGTGTTTCTAACTTCACCTTTGCAAGAATATTTGCCGTTTGTGATTGCAGAGTGTGAAAGCTAAATGGGATAGGAACTGAAATAGCAGATCTCTAGTCAGCATTGCAGAGCTGTGTTAGTGCCTGAGCACTGTGCAGAGTTTGTGGAGGAAGGAAACCACAGTGTGCTTCCCACAATGGGAAAGAGGAGTGGTTGGAGTGGAAGAGAATAAAAGGTTGAAGAGAAAAAGGTTGGAGAAGAAAATGGGCTGGGTTTCCCCAAGGCTGTGMAGGGATAGGAAGAATAGTTGCTGAGGAACTTTTAGGCAGAAAATTAGTAGGAAAAAAGGAATTAATATTATGATTGTCAGGGTGTAGAGGAGAAAGGATGAATTGCACAACAGTGACATGTGTATGCTGTAAACTGGAAGGTGGAGGAGGATGGTCTTGTGGGTGGTTGTGGGACTGTCTGTGGCACAGAGAGGCTGTCAGAGCAGGCAAACTGGTATGAGCAGAGGATCCATTCAGCAAGAAGGTCAGCAGTATGGGAACTGAGAAAAGGGAGGGAAGGGCAGAAGCTGAATCTGGAGCTCTGGCCACATTGGAGGCAAAAATCACCTTTGAGTTGTTAAATAATAATGCTCCTGAAGGGAATCCAGGGATTCTTTACATCTTGGTGCAAGAATCTTATAGGAATACCAAATCAGATATTTGAGACATCCTGTCTATCATGCTATGAGTGGTCACTGTACTTGTGTGAAAGTTCAGCATCATCAGAACAGGCTGGGATTGCAGGAGATGACACTGAAACCTCCGTGCTGAACTCTTCTGGTTTAGACTCATGTTTTTGAGAAGTAGTTGAAGAGTCGCAAAGAAAAACCTGGAGTTTAAAGTCACAAGTGCTGATGTGATGCTTCCTAAATCTGAATTGTCATTGTGTGCCTTACAGTACTATTGTCAGTTACATTCAAAAGAAAATAATGTCTCTTTTTTTAAAAGGCGTGTCTTCCACAGTTGAATACCAGACGGTAGAGTTGGAGCGTGAGCTTGAAAAGGTGAAAAGCAAGAAAACAAATCTAGGTAAAGAACTTTCTAGTGTTTTGTGTAGATTGTAGTTTGCTACATGACCTTAAGGTGCAGTGTTTAGCTTGGAGCAGTTGCTTGATTGATTCCAGTTCATTCTTAACCAATTTTGTGAATTTGCGAATATATTACATGGAACCATTGCACCACTCCAACAAACATTTAAATAGGGAATCTGATTGGATCTTATTTTTAATATAATTTTAGAGAAGTTGTTACACTTGACTTCTTTGCATAGAGTTTTTCATATATAGTGATATGCTTTTGATTATTTGGGCTAATCTAGGACGTTGCTTTTTGAATGATTTCTATGAAATTCAGATTGTGGATTTTTTTTTTTTTTGCACATGCTAATGATGTCCAGTGAAGTTAGTTTTGTTTTTTTTCCCTTATGAGAAGAAAATGCTATTTAAATATCAGAAGTTCTGTTTTGTCCCTTTAGGTCATGCTGAATACACAGCTTATTTGTAATATGTAATACAATATGTAAACAGCATATTTTAAAGTTCAGATTTTAAAATTTGAGAAACAGCTGTGTGCTAGGGCAAGAAAAAAGTTATGATGAATAAAAGATCCCTCTGAGAAAAGTCTGCTTGTCTCTGTCTCCCCAGCCTTTCTCTAAAAAGGTTTCATGTTTTGGCATTTCTTTGTACAGCTCTACAAGGTGGATGTTYTTATGAACTGGTTGATGTTTGTTCCAGATCAGGTTACTGTTGTTACTTATAATGAGCTTATAGGTAGCTGAATGATTTTTACTTGTTTTATTCTATGGTGTTAAGCTTCTGTTTTTTCTCTTGTGAACAGAACGGAGGAAAAAAGCTTCTGCTTGGGAAAGGAATTTAGTCTATCCAGCTGTCATGATATTGTTGCTGATTGAGACGGTAAGAATTTTCTTTTTTTTTTCCCCAACAAAAAATATTAAGAATTCTTTAGTAATTTGAGGGAATAGTTTTAATTTTTTTGAGTGATGTGTATTTGAGCAACAATYTTGATATTCTTTTCTTGACCATTTAAAAAAAAACTTGACCTTGTGGAGTCTGGTGAGGATAAATGTGTAGATTTCAAAAATGTGTAATACTTTTCAATAACAAGACTGTTTCTACTTTTTTATAGTCCTTTTCGGTTCTCTTAGTCGCTCTCAACATTCTATACCTGTTGGTTGATGAGACTGCAATGCCAAAGGGATCAGGGGTAAAGTAAACTTCTCTTACAATTTTTATAACTTTAATAAATCCTTGGAGGCCTTACAGAAATGCAAGTGAGAACTTTTGCTTTAATAATATGGAAACTAATGAGCCTTGACCYTGACTTTGCATCTAGGTTTTATTCCTGTGCCCACACAAACATTTATTACATGTCATGTTGTAGTGAGTTCTTATTTAAACTAATGCAGAAGCTTTATGTAGCTACAGTGATGCAGTAAAGCAGATCTGTAATCTGCAGTTTGCAGTTCTGACTTGGCAATACATTGCACTGCAGTTTGAAAGCTGCTGATGCCATTGCATGGGGTGGGGGGACTTGAGGGGTAGGACATCAGAACACGACTTAAACGCTGAAATGAGACAAGGCTATTTTTCATGTGTAAGATGTTACGTGTTTTGTTCTTGCTACAAGTTAACTTTATGAACTGCATGYATCTCATTTAATTACACAAAGTATCTTTTGCTCATAGGGGCCTGGAATAGGAAATGCCTCGTTATCCACCTTTGGCTTTGTGGGAGCAGCACTTGAAATCATTTTGATTTTGTATCCTTTCTGTAAGAATTCTGTCTATTAACAAGTATTCTGTCTAGTTTTCTGGGACACTGGTAATAGACTAAGACACTTGCCTGTAATGAGAATGAGATAGGTTAGTCCTTCTCAAACACTTGAAGTGTTTTTGTTTCTTTTTTCTTTAGTTCTTAAGACTTTTAGGGGACTGCTGAGAACTTKAGTGAAATGCACATTCTTGGAGGTTCCTTTTTCCTTGATTCTCACAGCTATCTTATGGTATCTTCTGTCGTCGGCTTCTACAGTCTTCGTTTTTTTGAGAATTTCACTCCCAGGAAGGATGACACAACTATGACAAAGGTAAGGTGCAGTCTGGGATGGGGATGGCCCCCTCCTCTCTTTCTTGCCACCCAAGACAAACTGACTCTCTTAGTAATTGCCCTGAATGGCTCATTTGCAGTGATCAGTATTTGTTTGTAAGCTGCGTAAACACAAACTGGAAGATTTTCAAAATGCTGAATGAGTGGGAAAAAGGATGTGCTSTGTTTAGTTTGGATGGCATCCATTCACTTGTAAAAAGCCTGGAATGGCAGAGCTTGTTATCTGGCTATAGAAAAGCAAGTGAAAGAACTTTCTTCAAAGGAAACTTATTGCTAATGAGTAACTTTGATTGTTGTTAACTGTACTTCAGGGAGCTTGTTTGAGATCTGAACAACTTAGTTGCTAGAAGTAATACAAAGTAATTCAAATTTGAATAATTAAACTRAGACTGAGGAGGGCTATTCAACATTTTGCAATCTGAAGCTAGTTTGACTTTCTGCTATTTAGCACCAGTTTTGGAATAACAAATGCTGTTACCTAATTTGGAGGAACATACCTAGGTTTTTGGCAAAATATTCCCACAGCTGACAAGGGGAAGTGATCAGTAACCAAGGAACAGATGCTGAATTTTATTTTTTTTTTCAGTATGTTTTATTGTTTCTGATTGTTTAGGGTTTTTATTTAAAGTAATGAATGAAGATATTTTTAGTATGAATTGTTGGAAGTGAGAAAGTGGGTATACACACAGAATGATTATAGTAATAAGTAGAGAATTGCAATGTTCTTAATGTTWCTTATTGATTGTTTACAGTACACCAGGAATAGTAAAGAAATAAATAGTGAATGTACAAATRTCTACTTTCAAGTTTTTCTTTTTTTTCCTTTCTTTTTGCTTTTGGATTCTGATGAACTAGACCCGAAGAAAATGATCCCTTTTGAAAGAAAGTTTCAATTACTCTTTTTAAAGGCTTTACAAGAACAAGAGTAAAATCTAACAGCTGTGAATTTTTCCCTACTATTTAAAGCAGACARCAGGCATTGAATTGAAAGGAAGCTCTTTGTTGTAATTTTTTTAATAATGCTAATCCTGCAAGCAGTTACATCCAAGGCTTAAGCTGATGTATCAGTCATCTATTCTAAGCCCATGGAATTGTTCTTTTATAAAACATTCACAGGAAGTAAGTAAAACAGTTGATGCTTTGCAACATGGTGGTTTTGAATTATTTTGAGTCTAAGCATATATAATACTTTGATTAAGAGCACACGATTACATATTTGATTTTTTTCTTGGATCATTTTTGTCGTGTTTAACACCATATGGAGAAGTGTGACAGAAGTCAGCAAGACTAACAATATGTTACTGTAAATTGCTTTACATTCAATTTGAAGAATTGAAGAATTTTGAGAATTCTTCGTTTTCATCTTGACCACTRTTTTCTTGTGTTCCCTTCAGCAATCCAATTTATCATTTAAATACTGTTTGTAATTTTCAAACAGATTATTGGAAACTGTGTCTCAATCTTGGTGCTGAGCTCTGCTTTGCCAGTGATGTCAAGGACATTGGGTAAGTGAAATGGAACTATAACACATCATAATAAAGGATGTTTAATTGAGTTTAAAAAATGCAGGAAAAAAGAAGAATCTGTAGCTGTGTTTCCTATAGTATATGTTTAACTTGCCATCACTTTCAATGGAAGGAGCGTGCATCTGTGGCCTTTGTTTCTATGTCAACAAGAGCTGTTGAACATACATCTACATGAGCTACAGAACATACTTTCTAAAAAAGAAAAAGATACTAAGCATTTTTAGAGAATGTATTATTTTAAGATTTGCAACTTCTTAAAACAGCAGATGGTAAGATGATGGGAAAACTGATTGTCCAGAGCAGAAACACTGAGCACAAATGGCTTTTTAAAAACAGTTAATGATGACTCTTCATTTATAAAGTTTTTGAATCAGCAGTGATACCAGGCTACTTTCCTTTTCCCTATAATAATGTGCTTGTGTTTTTGTTATCTCAGTTTTCAAATTTAAGAATTTGGAGTTCACCCTAGCAGAACTGAAGAACTTCTAATTTTATTGCTAAGAACTGGCAGTAGCAATTGAAGTAGTTAAGCTGTTTTAACCATTTGGAAAGACTTGTGTCTTCACTTTAATTAGGTAATCTTCAGCTTGTATTCTTGAAGTTAAATTACAAGGCTATTACATGTTTAAGTAGTGCAGAATCCTTGTAGCTAATGTGAATTTCATTGGGAACATTAAATAGAACAAAACAAAAATCTTCACCTCRGGCTGTACAAGTCTTAAGTACAAGCTTAGAAGTTTGAGCTCAGGCCCAYAGACCAGCAGTGTGTGCTCAATAGTTCTGCAGCTGGTTTTCTTTTCAGTGAGAATACTCTTGAATCAAGAGTAGTTCATGTTTTCCAAGAAATTAGGCTGTATATTCTCATGCTGTTRTATCTACAGATGAGGAGTTTTAATGGACTTGCTAGGTCATTTCTGTACCAAATGAAAAACCCTCTACAATGAATTTTGGAGTGTYGAATCTTACAGTATGCATTCTAAAGCTCATTTAAAAAAATCTGTAGTAAAACTTCACAAAAATGCAAAAGAGTAATTCAAATATTTAAAGCAATACAGTTTTAAAATATAACCGGTATGCTAAAGGTCTAAGAAGTAAARTGGTTCTAGCATGTGGAACCAGATATTACATTGAAAAATCACTGTTTCAGAATGGAATTGTAACATAAGTTTCTGTCCACTAAGTTACTGCATTCAAGACTTGTTTAAAAGAAAATAAAATTGATTGTTAATGATCCATGAGATTAGSAGTTGATAATAACCAGATTCTGTGGCAGTAAGTGTACATGCTGGGTCCATTGTTGTCTCATAGGAAACAGATTAATGGTAAAACTCACTTAAAAACCAGACTAACAAGTGAAATTCCTGAATAGTTTGCCATAGAGATAAATAAAAGAAGAAAAAAGATGGAACAATTAACACACAGCTAACAAATGCACAGTCACAGCTGTCCAAACAGGATTAATAGAGTGTATTCGAGTACAGTGAGTCATGTGGTGCTTTGCAGAAATATCAATGTGTGTTGCACTATATGCCACTGCCCTGTGGCACTGAATAGATGAAAAGAAATAAATATGTTAAGCAGATTCATAGTCTTTTCACTTTATTAAAAAAGCTAGTTTCTAGACTATACAGAAAAGACTAGACTTTATCCTTATGGGAAAGGTGAAAAAGCAAAAGTTATCTAATACATGTACTGACCTTTTTTAACTTTAAAAAATGGAAATAGAGTTTCTTACATGTTTCATTGCATTCTAATTAGATTAGAGGTGGTGGATATGTCTGATCTGTCATTCTTACAGAACGTCATGGAAATTTTTAACTATACTAAGTTACTTTACYTAAATAATATAACTTGTATTTTTCCAGAACTTTTTAGCCTTTTAGTAGCCCTTCAGAAATGTTTCCCACTAGCACCATATTGCTAATCACAGAGAAACAAATTGGTAACAAGGCACTTAGTAGTCAAGAATACAAAACCAAAGAATTGCAGAGAAAATTGAACTTCCTACTACAGAACAGATTTCCTAGAATTCTACACTTGAGTATTATGTGCAAGTAAATGGGAATTTTAAATTTATTTTTGTGTGCTGTCTAAAACCTACTATTTGTTTTTAACCTGAGGAATTCTTTAATAGTTTGCTTGGTAAAATTTCATCAGCTTTTGTGTGTATATATTTGTGCCACTAGATGTGCAAGTTTTGTTCAATTACTGAGTAGTGATTAAACTTCTTGGAGTTTTTGTCTGTGGGCTGAGTAGATATTGCTTCTGTAAGAAAGTAATGAAAACCTTTTTAACCTTTTTCTCCCATGAGTTTACAGACTGTTACTGTGTCAGATCTTTTCTAAGGAGCAGTGACTTTTTCTGTTTGKGAGAAGAAATTGAATGTAATTTATGGACAATAATTTTCCCACCTACTCTAACAGAAGAGTCAGGGTTCATTTCTGTTTGTCCTTATAACACTACTCCATGGCTCACTGTTCTTTYGGACCTCTATGTGTCAAGGAATGTTATTCCTTTTCCAGAGAACTCCAGTGCTCTGCCTGTTTTATTCCTTTTCCTTTAAAGTTCTGTACATTCAAACGTGACATCCTTAGTTTGCATGTGGCTCCACAGTTTGACTAAAACACTGCTGCTTTGGAAATGTTAAGGACACTGTTTGCCTTCAAGTGGAAAGCAGCTCTGTGTTTGTTGTCCTTCATCTCTTTGCCACTTAATTCAGACAGCTAGTGTATTTTCTTTGTGCTAAGACCTTCTATGCTTTTTCAATATTTCTCCCTGCCTCTTTTGCTGTTTTGATCAGTAATTGTTTTGCTTCATCCTTTGAAACATCTTTGTTTAGGAATGTTTTTCTTAGATACCAAATTTGATTCCCATGTTTTAATTTAAAKGATTGAATACAAGAAGCATGTGTATCTTTAAGCATTGTGATGCCTGGCTGCAAGTCTTTGGTGTCTGGGTACAGTGAGATTCCTAAGAGTCAGGTTTACTCTTGGGTGTAGTGTAATTGACCCTTAATTGTCTCTTCATTTGTTTTTACTTGTGAAGTCAGTTTATTAAAAGSCCCAAAATTTTTTCAGAATAAGATGATAGAAAATCAGGAGCYTCCAGGAATTTCAGAGCCAGGGCTATTTTGTCATTGCCTTGTTTGCTGCTGCCATTTTAGCCCTGGGACAAGGTCAGCTTCCTTCTTTTGCACTGTTTAGAGGGCACCTTTTACTTTCATATCATCTATGCCAAAAGTTTTTTGGGAATACAACAGCTTTTGAATCCTAGACAGTGGTCATGTGTCAGTCATCTCAGTGTTCTGCCTTATATTCAATGCAGTACTTGGTGACACCTGATAAAGGAACAACCTGTGGCTCTTCCTCTTCAGCCTTCTGGGATGGGCCCTAAACCTTGTAGATGTTTCCACATTTTGGAAAAATGTTGTTCAATTAACTGATGATTGACAGGCCTTTGATCAGCACAAAGCCCAAGTGTCAGGGTTGGAGGTGCACTGTGAAGAAGACCTGTCAGCACCACCTTTCAGCCAAACCCTTTTGCTTCTGTACAAATGCTCCATGGCTGTAGTGGTGGGCAGATCCAGGAGAAAAACTGTGGCTGGAAAGATGTCTTTAAACTTTTGTTTCAAAAGCAGTGCTCTGGAAAAACACTTAGAAGGCTTAGTGTTTACCATGAGGTGCTGTGTCTCTCATAGAAAAACTGTTTGCTACCTGTATTTTTAATAAAAAAAGCTCATGGTGGAGTTCTGGAATCAATAAGGATTTCATAGAAACTGAGATTTCAAGCAGTTTCATACTAAAGCTGATTTTTTCCTGRTTATATTTATTGAAATTATAGAAAGAGTTCTTATCTGGATAGACAATTAATATCAACTCCCATTATTCAAGCATTTTACTATGAAATTTAAAAAGCTTTTTGATAAAGATGTCTTACAATTTTATAGTGACCAACAAAGTAGAAATGACCTCAAGAGCATTGTCTTGTGTGTTTAACCATTGTCTCCTAGTGTGTTGTCTGTAGGAATTTTGCATTCAAATTTAAATGTAGTATAATGAGATTTTTGTATTTCCTAAAAAATGTAATTAATATTTTGATYTAAATCTTGCATGCAATTTAACAGGAATCACCAGATTTGATCTGCTTGGAGACTTTGGAAGGTTCAACTGGCTGGGGAACTTCTATATTGTGTTGTCTTACAACTTGCTCTTTGCTATCATGACAACGCTGTGTCTGGTCAGAAAGTTCACTTCAGCTGTGCGAGAAGAACTCCTGAAGGCATTAGGTAACACAGCTCTGAAAATTCAGTGTGTGCTTGAACATTGCCTTTCTCCACCATTAACACCTTGATGTGATACTGATAAAGTTCTGCCACAGCTCACTGGAAACCTTTTTCAGTGGAAATTTCTCTAAGTTAAGGTGTGAGGGTTAGTTAAGGTGTGAGGGTTAGTTAAGGTGTGAGGTTAAGGATGAGTTTTCTTTTGAAGAGTCCAGAGCCAAGGTACTATGTGGATTTGAATGATCCGCCTGTGATACTTATTGTTCTGCAGCTGGATTTTCAGTCTTTGGAGAGCACAGAAACATTCTCATTGCTGTGAACAATTACTCCAAACTAAAACTTCAGCTTTTGTGTGGATTAGCATTTAAAGCAACTTATTAGTTCCCTAAAAATATTTGGTAGAGAGCTTTATTGCTCTGTTGTCATGCTTTTGTTTGARTGTCTATTCAGAAAATCTTTATACRGAATATACAGAACCTTAGTAACTGGCTGAGTAAAACCTGTATCTGATATAATCAAAAATTGGATCAAAGTTTGCATTGGTATTTATTGACCATAGAACAAAGAATTGAAACACATTTGATACTAAGAGGGTAATTTTTTTTTAAATTTTTATTGTTGTTGCCTCACCTTATTTTTGCTAATTAACAAMGCTTCTATCCTATCTTTAGATCCCTAGAGTAGTAGTTGCTTAAATTGAGAGGATTAATGGTGAAACTGTGGTGTTTGTAACTGAGGATTCAGTTTGCAGCATCTAGGAGTTACTCTGGTTTTCACTGCTTTCACAGTTGTGATGCTGAAACAAAATCCAAGCACTTCCAGAGTGCTAGTAGCAAATTAGGTTAAAATTATTGTGAAATAATWGAAATGTTTTATAAAAAGTTAAATGTGTTGAAGGCAGATTAATAAACATAAAAATGCAGGCATAATAGGGTAATGGTCATTGAATTTGACACAAGTAGGGAGTTAKGAACCCTAAAATGTACAGGTTCCTGACACAAACTGAGTTTGTTTTCAGTGCTGTATATAACAAACTCTGTCTGTTAAAAACTGTCCCATGGAATTCAAAGAATGAGAACTAAAATTGGCCTGTGACCAAAAAATTCACATAATATTGGGACTGCAAATAAGACAATATGGAGATTTTGGTTTTTCAGTAGKGCAGTCAATTTTTGGAATTTCAGCAATGCTAGAAATTTAACTTGGTACGTCATGGCACTTCAGTAAAACATTCAGTATAGTCTACCCTAAATGAATAAGAAACTCTTTCCAGTTTTGATCCTTAGTTTTAGAGACTTGATAGAAGACTTCAGAGAGAAACTCAGCAAGCAAGGAAAGACTAACATCATGCCTCTTSTGAATAAATATGGTTAAACTTGCCATCTTTCCTCATTTCCCCCCTCAAAAAGAGGAATTTAACTGCTTACGTGGAGCAGGATGGGAGATGTAATCATCACTCACAATAAAGAATTGTGCAGTAAGAATAAATGGTTGRAAATGGAGATTAATCACTAATAGTGTAGTTCTGAAAATTTAGACATATAAATCATTTAGAGAAGTGATCTGGTCATCACCAGTGAYATTAAGATCAGCAATTCATGATTAACAAAAAGATGCTATAGTTGAAAAGAAATATTTCAGTTAATTATTTAGGTCTTTGTAGGTGACAGGGTAAGTTATTGCAAGTCTTTCTTGGTTCTTAACATCTGAGTGTGGGATTTAAGCAATGGGAAGTTAGGATTCTCTGGCTTCCATGCTTGACCACTGTAATGGGCTTTTCTCACTTAAACACCACTGAGGGAATTTACCAGAGGCAATTCTTACCAGAGTTAGAATGTCAGTTCTGGTTTTCAGCAAATGTGAAATCCGCAGTCACAGAATTTGGGGGTTTTTGTGTCCTTTTGTGTTCCTGTGTGCATGAAACAAGGGTGAGTCTCAGTTTTCCCTTATTCTGTGATGTTTTGCAGGATTAGATAAACTCCATCTATCAAACAATCCAAGAGACTCDGAGACAAAGCCTTCTGCAAATGGGCATCAGAAAACACTGTGATAACAATCACCTGCAATCAACAGAGCTGAAAACATCAGCCTCACGGCATTCCTGTCATCTCATCAGCGTTTTTATATTGCTTTTAGTTGTTAGTTTGGGTTGAGCCTTGTCTCATTTTGATGCTGTGTTCATCTGAGGAAGTTATGTGTGTCAGATTCTTCTCTTTCCAGTGAACTTTTGGTCTGCTTGTTTATTTCCCAGTAAGTTAATGCAGGAGGTGCCTTGAAGACTGGAAGCTGAAGAGAATAATGCATTCCTTTTTATTTGTTGAAAGTCTCACATCTTTATTTTTAAACTTGCTACCATTTGAATGCACAGTACTTCCTGTGTTACACAAACACAACTATAGAGTAACTTTGGGACTTGATTTAAAAAAAAAAAAGAAAAAGAAGAAAACATACACTTGAAGGCCAATATGATCCTTACTGGAAATGTCAAGTACCTGGAGTAGGCATCCTTGACAGGAGGTAACAGTTCTACTGAGAGTCAGTTAAAAATGCCAGTAGAGATCACAGTTCCCTTGGTGCTGGATGTAGGAGGCTGTGTCATGAAGCTTTCTCAGAAGGCCAGTGTTCTCAGCTCTCTGTCCTTAGCACTAAATGCCAGGTTGCTTTACTGGTGGTCAAACAATGTCTTATTGAAGTCCAAGAAGATGAAGATTAACTTCAGTGTTAAATCTGAGCCTAGTATGCTTTGTAAAAAGCTGTGTAGACCCCCTGTCACAGCTCTTACAGTTCTGTGAGTGCCGTGGAGGTCCCTTACCCTACCCAGTACCCCCTGTGAAATTCTTGATGAACTACTGTGTCTGAGCAGTACCTGGAATCAATGCAAGTAGCACAGGCCTAGGAGGCTGCAGTTGCAGTTTTCTRGTCTTTAATTTGAAGCAAATTTCTCTGAATTTATACTTCATTTACCAGGATTTCTGTTCAGTGGCATAATCCCRTTGTCTGTCACTATCCTGTTTTTTAATGTACACACAAAAATGTATATAGACCTATATGTGTAGATATCGTAAATTAAATTCTAAGGTTGTAGAAATTACATAGATGGTTTGGTAAGTATAATTTGTGTGTTCAGTCTTGGTAGTTTGAATTTCTGCAGTGTTACAGTTTAACTGCTGAGAGGCCTTAGGTTCAGGATGGCATCAGTGGGTGGTAGTGTCCTTTTTCGTTACATTTACTTCACCCTTAGGAATCCCTTCAACAGTTTATAGTAAAGAAAAAACCAAGTAAGTATTCAAAATCTGGTTGCACTTTTGTCCTGCTCAGCCACAAGTAATCTTCAAACAGATTGGAATGGGGACACCTTCAGTGAGTGCCCATCATGTAGGGAGCCAGAAAATCTTCCTGTTTTTTTCCCTTTTCTGTAAAACAAGTCTGCCTGTCTGTAGTTTGAGGTCATGTATCAGTTGGTGACAATTTGCAGTGTGGTTCTGAAATAGGTAAACCTTGTGTCAGAAACCCTTTGGCTGTTCTCCTGAGATGACTGCTCTGGGCTGTAGACCTTATTGCTGTGTGTGTGAATGTCTGTTTGGTTTTTTTYCCCTAAAGTGCTTCAAAAATCAAGCTCCAGTACATGTGAGGATTTATGTTTTTTCCAGCTGCCTTTTCTGACTTGAACTGGGGCATAATGTAAATATTTCTGTAGTAAATACAATTCTAGAGAGTTACATTTTGTGTGTGTGATTAGTATAAATTCAAGGCTTATTGAACTGACTATTGATGTGTTGTATCAAGTCTTGGAAGAAAAAGTAAAATTGCTTGATTTCACTAAGATACAAGCATCTTTTCTGTTGTTTARTGCTGACACTTTAGTGAGATATCTTTATCCGAGTCAAAGTTCTTCAGTCAATAACTGGGAGCTATAATTAAAAGTTGTTCTAAAATGGGTTTATRTTTAAAATATTAGGAGATATATTATTAGGGGCATCATTCAGGTATTCTCAGAGCTTGTAGCCTTATGTATTGGCATCATAGAAACCAGTGAAAGGTGTCCACTTCTTCATGCAAGTCATTGTATGATCAAAATTGTCCTTGTGTCTTAATTGGGCTGGTGAATTGTGATGTGTGAGGCCAGTTAGCTTTATAGAAAAATTTCTATTACAATGCCAAGACACTTAATACACTCTGAAACTGAAGAAATTAATCTTAGGAAGAAACCTAGGAGTGTGAATAATCATACTTAACCAGCATAGGTCTTGCTCTTCGTGCCTTTGGAGAGATGTTTTTCCTGGTATCAGTGACCCAAGAACACAGAAAGAGGTGGATTATAATATGTAGTGGCTTCTGACTTGGGCAGTTACTTCAACTGAGTATGGGCAGTTCCTGCTGAGAAGCAGTCAAGCTTCAGACAAGACTTTAAAACTCTTTTTCAAAACAAATGTTMCAGCCTCAGCTGTCCCTACCCCTTCTGCTGGATTCTGCAAGCAGATGTTTGGGTTAAGGCTGCRTTAGGGAAGACTTTACACTGGATTCTGTGGGATGGTTGAGGTGCCGTGGGGTTTCCAAGGTGGGCAAGAAATTCAGAACTACCCCGTGCAACTACTGACAGTGTTTTGTTTTAAAATCAACTGCTGATATTGTGACATTGTCCACATTAAAATACACCTTTGGCCTTGAAAATGACATGCTTTTGCAAAGCTTTGTTACTGCATGCAAGATACAGGTCACTGTATATTTTTCACAGAAGCATATGGTCACTTAAGTACAAGCAACTGGTAATTCATTAATGGATGTTGACAATACATTCCTAGTATTTTGACTCATGTAGAGTCAGGTGGTCTATACCTTCAAGGTATATACAGCTGATCTTAGTAACATTAACATCTGCCTCACTTCTTAAGAGGCAAAAAGCACATTGATGCTTCCATCTTCAACTAGATGCCACGCAAGACCAAAAAATAAGTGTAAACTGAGTGTTTTAAGTTAGCCTTTTTTGGACTTTATTCCATGTTGGTAGCACAATATTCAATGCAGTGGCAGAACTGTAATATTTGTGGGGTTTCTAAGCATAAAGCACATGCTTATCACTTTTAGCTAAAAAATAGTAGTATTGGTTACTGTACAAGTAACAGTTTTGCATTCATAGGAAGCTTTGTTTACTGTCTATAATGTGATGTTTGTCTTTGGCCCTGTTCCTCCAATACCTTTGACTCTGTTGACTGTTTTGGTGTCATAGAAATTAAAAGACTTGACAAGTTGTTTTCCTTGYCTGGTTCCCAAGTATCACCTGCAGCAGCAGTGGAGGGAGGCTGGGCTGCCTGTGCAGGCAGGAACTCCTGCAGCAGGTGTTCGGCAGGATGGACATGGATCCTGGGGACACATCCTCCCAAATGTCACCAGGAGTGACATGTCCTCCCATGTGTCACCAATAATGACATATCCTCCCTGTGTCACCAGGAGTTTCGAGTGCCCAGGGGCTGCAGCCCCTGTCTGTCCCACCGGGTCTCTGCCAGTCACCTGTGCAGCAGCTGATGCTACTTGAGGTGCTCACATGTGCCTAGTGCARTGTAGTGAAGATATGATGGCCCTTTTAAAAAGAATTTACTGTCTAAATTAGAAAGGAGTAAGGCAGAAACAGACAGCAGTTGGCCTTGTCCTGCATGTGGCTTTCCTTGAATTCTTTAGGCATGCTCCAGGTTATTTCCCTTCTCTTCTTTCTCTTCCAGAATTGGGGTATGATGTATGTACAGCTGCTGAGCCTTACCCTTAGTGGGCTAGCATTTAAAATTTTGAAATAACAAATACAATTAAACTGTTAAATCCTGTTTAACATATTCTCTGATCTTGAAAATAGCATTTTTTTAAAATCRAGGTGAAATAATCCAAACAGAGATAGGACACTAAGGCCACATAAATAACCTCTTAAAAAGAAAGTGCTTAGTTTTGTTTAAAAGAGTGTTGATATGAACTGTGAACCTTTGTTTTGATGAAATAACATTCCCTACCTCCTAGCATTAGGATTTTTGTTGTTATTTTRGTGCTAAATTGAGACAATATTACCTACCCTGACTTTGCAATCCATGAAAGCTGAATTTGTTATTGATAAGCTGGCTGGTTATTTCAGTCACATTGGCAATATTTGAACTTTACTAAAATGCTGCTCTTGAATTCATCCCGCTCAGCAAGAGCAGACTAAGACCACAGCCACCACCCAGATGGTGATAGAGCTTCTGCCCCCTTTTCTTCCTTGTTCCCCGCCCTTACTTCAGGCAAGGTTGGCGTTTTACAGAAGCTTCTCTTGTATGAAGTTGAAGTGCTGTTCTTAGAATGAAGGTGCTGAACTGGGTGACTTTTGGTGGGAATTGCAGACTCCTGGGATTTTCAGGTGATAGCTGAGGTGTTCTGGAATGGAGCATGGCACTTTCAGGTGTTTTGTTTGGGCTCGGAATTTATTCAGGATCTTCTGTCTGTACGTGACTGTGCAGCCATTCTGTGTTTGAATGGCTTCTTGCTKTCTCAAGAGCTGTGTGGTTCTCAGAGGAACTGTGACCCTCCACACCACAGCCAGAGAGGATCTCCAAGCTGCTCTTGAGCAATTAAAGCCCAAAAATATGGGTCAGAATTGTAGGAAGGAGAACACATCTCATGGGGAATCAACACCAAATGTGACTTCCAGAGTACCCCCTGTGCCCAATAATTGGATAAGGGTGGTGGCTGAGGGAAATGACATGGAGCTCACCTGTGTAGACTCTTTGGTTATTTTTCTAGCCAGTCTTTAAAATTCTAGATTACTAAAACTATTACGTGGAATTCACATAATAGAGGGGCTGATGAAACTTGTTTTTATAAATCTGGCCTTAATTCTTAGAGATATCCCACATCTCAGTTTGCTTCCCTTTAGTGTTTTCAGGTTATTCACTGTCCTACTCAGTGGCCTTTGTGCTAAGAACAGATACTCTTGAGATGGACAAAACAAGAAATAGYCGAAGAATCCATATAGATTTGATACATGCACTGTAAGAAAACATACCAGAAGGCAACTTTAATGGAAGGCTTTTGAAATATTTCATAATTGAAGCACCTAAAACTCCTCTTCYAAAGAGAAAGAAATGTGTATCATTAGTATACAAATGTCAATTATATGTTCTCTAAATAAGCCAGTAATTCACTGACACTGAAAAGAAATTAATCCCTACCTAAAGTGTCTTTTGGGATTCACAGTGATAGGGTATTGTGAACTTTGTAGAAGCCTGTGAACTTCTGAAGGTATCTCTTGTAGCAACAGAAACCTGAGGATGCTTGTTAGTTTTGTGTTAATTACCGTATTTTCTCAGTAACTTTTTAGTTTCTTTATTATAATTTTTAAAATATGTGTRGCATTAATTATTTTAACAAATACAGGAGGTGACTCCTAATAGTCAAAGAGATAGTATGAGAAATACCTTGTAAATGCTGATATTCTTGACATACTGAATTCCAAGGTATTTAAAAGCTGTATCTGTATGAAGGCCTTGCATCAACATAGAAATTTGGAAATCCTAATTCTTAAAGGCTTTTAGGTATCTGAATGGTGGTATGTACCTACATGAGCACTTTGGGATGCTGCTTCTAAGTGTTTGTTGCTCACTAACCCCAAGTGTTGCTGTTGCTTTTCTCACTGCTCACCATTACATTGTTTTATAGTCGGCGTCACTGGATGAAGCTCCTTTCCTGAACGGGGCTTTATTTTGCATTCCTYCAGCATCAAGGCACCTTTGATTTTAATGTATTTCTTTTTCCCATGTAGCTTGTACACAGACACTCCCTAGTTAGAACTGTTCTTCCACTATAAAAATGTTCACTTTTATTAGTTAATTTGTTTTCTGCCACTAGATTCGAATTAAGCAATCCTGTCACTAGAAGGTCCTCTAATAAATTACCAAGAGCTCAGTTTGAGTCAGTCTGAATTAGGAGTGAGAGGGTTTAGTCCTTGCATATATTTGTGCTTGTAGCTTCCAGTAGGGTACAGTCCCRCTGCCCAGCAAGGGGAACAAGCTGGTGCAGCCATTCAGAGCCCATGGGGTGGCTGTCACTGCAGAGTGTCCCATGTGTGGAGCTGCTTTGCAGCTCATCTCAGTGGGATGTACAGAGAGAACCCTCAGCTCTYGCTGCCTCCCTCAGGGGGAGATGGACACACTTTGTGTCAGCAGCGTGTAGCTCTCGTGTTCTCATCAGGGCTTTGTGAGGTGCCGAGGTGAGGCTCTTCACCTGTTTTCTGCATTTTTGTATTTCATGTGTATGAGCATGTTTTGGGCCTTCTCTCGCCATGTAAATTGATCATTCAGAGAAGTGGCATGATGGTGATACCTGTGCAGTGGATTCAGTGGGTGTGTTTAAATGCTTAAGAAGAAAATTAGCTGGTGCATGATTTCCCTTTTTTCCCTAACCATGAGTTTCTTTCCAGTCTGGACCAAAATTCTAAGAGTCACAAAATCTCTGTGAGTAATTTTCTCTTCCTTAGCTTTATATAACAAAATAAAGTTGAGTCACTTTTACTTTCTTAAAGATAGGTTTCAAAGTACTTTTGCCTTTTTTGGTGTGACTTCTGTTGCTTTAAAAAGAAGTGGATAGATAACGAAGATACATTTGGGTCATGGGATTTGAAATCTTGAAAGTGTGTGTATAAAACACACATACACAATAAAAGAGTACATTTCTTTTCTTGTGGGCTTTGGGACCCAACCCTGCTTTATCTAAATAGRAATCACGTGTTGCTCTTGTCTCCACTAAGTTTTGTGTTTAAAGTTCCCAGAGAGGAGACTGAGGATGTCCTCAGGGTGCTGCTGGCACCCCAACCCCTGTCACATTGAATTGGCTTCATGTGGGCTTGTGACCATAAAATCACAATTCTGAGCTGGCGTTTCTGTGGCTGTTGGTGCTGCTGGCTGGGCTGTGACGATGGCAGCAGCTACCTGCACTGTGCACATTCAGCTTTTCCACTGCAGTGTTACTGGTTAATATCACAGTTTACAAAAAGAGTCATAAATTACGCACAATCTAACCTGTGTGAGGCTGGGAGGTGCTGGATGGAACTCGTGGTGCCCTCTTGGTCTGATTTGTGCTTTAGGCTTTGTAAACTCCACAGTSTTGAGCAACTGAATTTTCTTTCACATGGATGCATCTGACCAAGGTATAACACAGCTGAAAAATTGTKCTTTTAGTGTTACTTTAATCACAACAGTTTTTGATGTAGATACCCTTTCCCCACCAACCCTTCTTGGTTCATTTTAGGTCATCCAGAATTCCTGTTCATAGTGTTCTCTGTTGTGGATATTTTGTTGTGTTACAAAAATAAATGAAAATATCTTCTGCCTTAGCTAGGCTGATTTTTTTTTTGTTTGTTTTGCTTTGTGGAAAGCAGTGGTAATATGTTTTTTTCCTTTGTTTGAAATGTTACACTGAATGTTTTGTAGGAAATTTTTTTTACTGTGTTTTCAATAAAGTGTTATTCATAGCAGAGTTTTGTACCTTTTTATTTTAAGCAATGAAAAAAAAGTATCTTTGTCATTCTAAATTATCCTGTCAGTAGTTGTAATATTCATGTTTCTCTCTCTTCTTTCCAATTTAGTCTACTTTTGAGGTTCTCAAATGGCTGCATTTCTGAAGCAGCTGATGAAGGGAATATGGTGGTGATTCCTGTACATTCAGAGGAATCACAACTCTGTTCTAAGGTGTGCAACTGATTAGAACTTGCTTTAGGCCAGTGGGGATTGTTTATAGGAAAGTGTGCTCATTATGCAATTTGTAACTCATTTTCAATCGCTTAATAGTTTGACTGAAGGGCAATTTTTATCTCTTAAACCCCTGACCACCATGTTTCCTCAACTCTCTGAAACTTAAACAGTTTCAGACTTTAATTTCCATTTCACAGGAGAGTTTAGGCTGTTTTTAAAGTTCAAGATTCACGTGGCTGGAAAGAACCGGGAGATGTCTGATCCATCCAGCTGCACAGGATCAAACGTAGCTGCATTATTCCTGATATTTAACCAGCCTGGCAGGGGCTATCTGTGATATGATTGCTGTGCTGTCTYCTGGCAGTATATTCCAGTGTTTAATTGTCCAAGGTTCCATAAATGTCAAATGTGAAGGGCCCTTGCCACACCTTTAAGCTTTAATTTTGTTCTCAAACTTCCTTAGTAAAACAAGCCTTTTTGCTTGCACCAGCTTTTTCCACACCTAAAAGGTTCCATTTCCCTTTATTTTCTATATGAGAAGTGACCCCTAATTCCCTCAACTGTTCTATGCAGGCCTCTAATCATCCTTTTTGTTGTCTATGGGGATATTCATGCATTTTTGGAAATGCAGAGCTCAAGTGGACACAAACCTCCAAGCCTGAGGTCTGGCACTGCATCATGTCTTCAGTGCTTCTTTCTTTGTGGTTTTTTTTTTGTTTTTTTTTTTTTTTTTTTTTTTTTTTTTTTTTTTTTTGATAGGCAGTGACAGAAGAGGCATCTCAGGTGTTGTCCTCAGTATAGACTTTGATGCCTTTTTACTGCCTTAAATATGTTTTTGCATGTTGCATATAGGCCTGGCCAATCTCATCTTCATATCTGAAGATGTTCCCACACAGGCTCAACAAAATAAATACCTGAAGTGATTGCTTTTTTTTTTTTTTTTTTATTTAAGTGTCTTGAATGAAATGCCAGCTCACTGTGGCCACTTTCTCCCAATGCACCCCACTATCTGAAAGCTCTGAAGGGACTTGCACAAGACTTGACTTCATGTCTCTGCCCATAAAATGCTTGCAGCAGTTTTAAGGAATGTTTAACACCTTGACAAGACCAGGCAATGTGAACCTTTCTCTCTGTGCATTTCCTGGGAGTGAAAAACTGATAGGAAAAGGAGCCATTTTTTCAAGGAAAAAATGGGTTGGGAAGTGGGAGATGAGGTGGCAGAAGGCTCGAGCTCAAGGTGAGACAGTCTGATGGCACCTGAACACTCTCCTTTTGTTTCATTTCTGKTTTTTTTCTGTTTTGTTTTTGGTAGCTTTTCTCTGCCAGGACATGTGCTCCCTTCCACCTGCAAAACTCTTCATAGCATATATCAGAATATTTCAATGAACTTTTCTAGAACCAAAGGAATCAAGAGTCCAAATTGCACAAGAATCCCACAGAAATGATGTGGAAAGCTCACTAAGAATTCAGAGAGACTTTAATTTCCTAAATTTGCTGCTGACAATCAGATTCAATCTTGTGTATTCTTTTTGTTCTGTCGTCTGATTCACTGCTGAGAACTGTTATGGCTCACTGTGTTCCCAAATGATCCCTAATAAAACAGGATATTGAAGGGATGTATCCATTTGTCAGTACAAATTGGATTTAGTTTCCTTGTTAGTAAATGCTGATGTAGCAATTTAGCATAACAGAAAGAAGTTCCCCGAGAGCACTTGTGTTGYGGATGTATTTAAATCCCAAATTGGTGGGAAAAGCTGCAGCCCYTCCTGTACTCCGTGAGAGAATTCTGTGTGGCAAAGAGCAGATGGGGAACCTGGTGCTTCCCCTCACTTTGCTCACTGTCAAGAAAGAAACATTCCAGTCTCTCCCATGCAGACGTTCACACTGACCTTTGGTGGTATGAGTAGAACAAAAAAACAAATAAACAAGAGTCCCTCCACAGGCCTCCTCCAATATTTACACTTTGTGGTCTCCAAACAATCCCAGCCGGCTCTTTGAACAACTCGTGAAACGCTGCTTATACCTTTCATATTTTAATGTGATTATGTGTTTAATCAATAACAACTCTGGTAAGTTGTWCCTGACTCTTGCTAGCTAGGTTCTAGAACTGAATCTCTACATTGCAATTTTAACTGCCCTTACTCATTTCATGTTAAAATCTGGCTTCAAGAAGAACAAGTTACGATCACACCCATAACCTGTGGTTTTTGTTCACCATCAAGTAAAGGCTGATCCATTTGAAAACACTTCTGGCCCTGACTTATCCTTGGTCTTCTTTATAATCATATCAGACTTGAACAGACCTGACATGGTTTTGTAAGCAGGTGAGCCTCCTCCAGCTGGAACTGTAAAAATAGAGGAAAACTCTTCTCCTGCATGAGACAGGGATCCATGAAGTTCCTGTGCTGCTTAGATACTATCTGCTTTAAGCTTCTCCTGGATTTTCTATAGTCAGACCTGACCCAACTCGTATCCATCAATCACTAAATAACGTCTAAGGTTGGGAAGAAAAAAATGTAACTGAAATTTAAGCCAGAAATTTTGTCACTGTTACATCAGCATRAACTACCAATGTGAATGGAAAGGAAATCAGCATATTGAGTAATTTGTTATTGTTAGCATGTTCTAGGATTTAGATATGAAATCCTGCTCTGTTTTAATGCATGATACTGAATAACCTTTTTTATCCTAGAACAAGTGAAACATAACAATTGAATTTATTTCTAAAAACACCATACCCTGAACATTTGATGTCTGTGACTTCCTAAAGCTGGAACAGAGTGGCACAAAGTGACTCTGTGAAATCCCCCATCGGTATGCAAAGCTGCATCAGTCATCTGTACAGCAGCACAAGACTATGATAAAATGAAACGATGAAACAAAGCGCCGAGGTGAACTTTGTCCACGGGGAAGCCTTTTTAAGTGATCCAATGTCAGCAAATTGCTTACTAATGTGTTGACTTATGGCAACCCTCAAAAGTAAAATGAAAAGGCTGGAATTTACAGCGTATCAATGAATCAGTTGATAAGCTTTTACTGGTTTAATATCCTCCTAGTTTTGCTGCTTGGAGCCACTTCAGGTTAGCAACAGAATGTTTACCATCTCTGTGTGATAAAGGAAGTCAAATGACTAAACAAATTCCAGGACCATTATACTGTTTGGTGAGATTTAAATTAAAATCGTTGGGAGAAATCACGTGGGGAGGGGGGGAGGAAGAAACTARAGTCAACTGCATCATTTCACAATGACTTACCTCGCTTCCCAAACAATGGCAAGATTTTTAGCAGAGCTGGAGATAGTGTAATGCATTAGAAAAGATTTAATTGCACCAATAAAAGGCTATACCACMGTTAAATGACATGCAGAGTGACATTTATAGGTAGGATCAAAGAAATTCACTACCTAACATGCTGAAGCAACACCCCGCTCTCTGTGTATAGGAGTGCTAAAAAGTAGCCTTCTTTGGTTTCACTGACCTTTCTTATCTCCTTTGATCTAAATTATTAAAAATTTTAATGTCAGGTGCAATAAGGGCTACTGTAGCAGCCTGAAACAAGTAATATGTGTTCTTCCTAGGACTAATATTTCCGACCTTGTTTTTTATTTTGTGATATTTATTTAAGCATATGAAACTTGACATTTAACCTTTGTGATCCTTTCAGAGGTGGTGGGGTTATTAAAAAATAGTTGGGTTTTTTTTTCCTATTGTGATGCCATTTGATTATGCTAATGTTTAGGGAGTGACATTTTAAAAGCACAGTTCAATTTTGAGAAGCAAATTTTATTTCAGAAAAGCTTTTTAGTGTCTGGAAATGGATAGCTCCTTATGAAAATTTCTTTAATTAACCAACATTGAAAAGTATGAGTGAACAGCAGGAAAACTCATCTACAGTTCCCACTTGAAAGTCACTAAGAAAAGTAAGTGCTTATCCTTTAATCATGACTAATACTGAATTTGTTTAAACCTGGCTAATTGTTGTGAGAAGACTTCATACATTTATTCTTAATAGAAGGTGGAAAAGTGGTGCCTGTTTTGTTCCCTGTAAAATCCTGAAGTGTTACATATGAGAATGAGTTCCTGCTACTGAAACATCTATATGGGAATTGTGTTAAATGAAGACCTTCCTTTATAACTGTGGGGTGAAATGTGGGCAGCCAGGCACCAGAGACCCTAAATCCAGCCCAGGGGAGGTGGCCTGGGGGGTTGCTGCTGTGGCMATCTGCAATTCAGTGAGAGAAATTTTAACCAACATTCAGCTGCAGCTTTCAGCTTATTTAGGAGCATTCTTCCACCTCCCATTGCTGAGACCCTGTTCATARCTTACCATGGGGTTTGGGCCCATGGAAAACTGACAGCCTTCTTGGAAAAGAAGCATACAGCTGCTTGCCCAGACTGTCATGCAGAAAAATACAAGAGTTGCTGTTTTCTGTTCCCATCGTACTTCTTGAGGACAGTCAAAGTCCACTGACAGATTGATTTATTCCAAACTTAAGGGCTTGGGCCCTTTTGAATGTCACATCCATTTTTTTCAGTCACYTTCATATTCTCTTTCTCTGCTGCATGGAAGGATTTTGTGTTGATTCCAAAGGCAGCACAGCAATCTGTCTGTGTTACAGCTGAGAACAGGATTTCCTCTCTGCCCTGCCAGTGAACAGCAGCACCAGTTTTGTGTCTCCAGTCTGCCAGATAAACTCCAGGGTACAATGTCACCATCATACAGAAATGTCAAATAGTAACAGCCTTTTTCTTCAAGGACTCTTTTGTTTCGCTAAAGCAGTGATTATAAAAAACTGAACTCAAACACCTGATTTAAGTATTGGTCTAAATCTAGTACTGCTTTTTTTTTTTTTTTCTAGCTTGCAGCTTGGGTGAGAGTGTTTTCCTGTCTGCACATACCAGCAGCTGCTGGTGTGGCTCTGGTCTCTGAACCAGGCTCTGGTGACCCTGGCTGGACCTTGGCTCCCCGTGCTCCCCGAGGGATCATTTGGTCATTGCTGAGCAGTTTCTGTTCCTGAAAAGCTGAGCTGGGCTGGCTGTGACTAAACTGAGGAAGACTGAGAGCTGGCAAAGGAGAGCGTGGGGCTTGCCCAGGGCTTGGCAGCAGCAGCTGAGTGCTGGAAGGCACAGCAGGGTCACTGCAGGATGCTTGATTTGGCTTCCTTTGTACAGGGTCACCCTGATTTATTACCCTCTGATTTGCATCTGAGCAGAAGTGAAAGAGGGGCAAAGCCATGGAATGGAAGTACCCAGTGAGAGAACAACAACAAAAACAGAAGTTATGATTGTTTACAGATTTCTTTCTCCCCTTACCATGCCCTCTTTATTTAATTTTCTAGGGAAATAGATCATGTAATTTATCGAAAATAGAAAGGAAATAGCCTCACAAGAAGTGAAGTATTGTTGGTTTAGGCAAAACACAGGGCTTAGAATCAGTTATTTAAATTATTTCCCTTTCTTTTAGGTTCTGAAGAGGATGGAATGAMCAGACTGACAAAACTGAGTGGCTCCAATGCTGCCTGTTTCATATGAATAAGAAAGAATAAATGAAAAGGAGTGAGCTTCCTTAAACCAGGAGCTCTGGTTTAAGGAAGCTCAATCACACCAAGAGAACAGACCAAGCAACGAAATGCAATGTACCTTTTTATCAAATAATTGCTTTCTTAATTTGCTGTCCTTAGGAGGCACTGCTTCTCTCCGCTCTTTATACTCTTTTCTATCAATATATCCTCTCCAGGAAGCTTGAATTCTCTAATTCATGCTCAAGGAGAGAAAACTCAGGGTTATATAATTTAATAATTTCTGTGAAACAATATTTTAATGCATTTTTTCAAACTTTAACTTTTATAGYGCATTCATTCTGTCTAGTTTCTTGCTAAAAGTGTAATGCATTTGGAACATTATTAAGAAATCAAAATTGCCCAATGACACATCTGTAGCAGAAGTAAGGCTTAYCTAATCCATTCATTTTAACTAAACATGCCTTATCATGTATTACCCTGGTCTGAGACTGCTCTTTTCTGTATACAGTACTTTTTACCTGCAAATTTTTCAAGGGTTTTCAGGCCTGACTGAAAAAAAAAAAATAATAACAATTATTTACAATATATTTAATCTTATTGATAGATATGAAATAGGCTCAATTACAGAATGTAAAATAGTTAATTTATCAATCCATGAACACTATACAAAGATGTATATTTTTAAAATTAAAATGTTTAGAGAATTTTGTAAATCTCCACATATTTGCAGGAAATTTCATGGATTAAATTTTCCAGGTATACCCGTCTATAGTTCCGTTACAAACTATGTTTTCCCATATGCTTTTAAAAAWGGTTGTAAAAACAATAAAGTGCTTCATCATAAAATAGCTTTAAATTATATTTCYTACCATAAAAATCTGGAATCAAAATTACTTTTCAAGATGATTATATTTAATTCCATAAGATATTCACTTAGATAGTTTAATTAAAAGACTCATGTATTATATGTTTGAATAGTTGTATAAAAATGTACTCCCTTAATGGACTATAGGGGAACATGAATGCAGCACCTGTTTTTTCAAAGGAAAAAAACAACCCCAAGAATCAAACCTGACTTTAAAGCATTCTAACAGCTGAAAAGGAAAAAATTGCTGACAAGAAAAATTCTGACTGCCTGAAAGGTCATCAGTTTCCTTCTGTGAAAATAAAATTATTTTGTGAATTCATGAATTTTGTGTTAACAACACRTGGGGTGGCAGAAAGCAAGAAATGGCAACTGCTACTGGCTGGAGGAAAAGATTATAAAATAGATACTTAAAATGAAACAYGATTAATTTTTCTTCTCTTTCCCAACAGAGGCATTACACTTCAAGAAGTGATACACATCAAATACAGTGTTTCCCATCTACAATAAAACAAAAGACAAAGTTTGCTGACAGGCTACAAGAAAACTTCACCTTTATCTGACCTAAATTCCCACCAAATGCTGATGATCTCCATCCTGATAAAAGATACAGAGTTGGACAGAAAAAGCAGCTGGCTCTTGGAGAAAGAGAAAATGGAGAAAGGAGTGAAACCCAGAAGGAGCAGTGAGCACTATTGAGCTGGCAAACACCAGAGGATTTATGGCCAGCAGCCAGCTGGAGGGAAAACTTTCAGATACAGTGGCTTTTCCCTTGAGGGAGGAACGCTGACGAAACACCGAGGGCAAAAAGAATTCTGGACGTATTTGCATTTTTGTGCCAAATCTGAAGTAACCTTTTTAGTGAGTGCTGTCTTTTGCTCTCTCTTGTAAMGCTTCAGACCCTCAGTGTAGCCAGAAATGGGCAGATCTTTCCAGACCTATCCCACCTGTCTGTGGCCAGTCGTTCACCTCCAGTTAATGTGGATGTAAAAAGAAGCAAAAGCCTGTATCTAAGGTTATTCAAAGGCTTTGATTCACAACACAGACTTGGCTGTGAAAAGTCTTCCAAAAAAAATGTAATGGGAGAACAGGCAGAAAAACTACCCTAAAATGCACAGGAGAAAGAAACTTGCCAGCAGTTGGGATAATTCTAATTGCCATCATCACGTCCCCGAAGCAGCTCTGGCCTTCCATCAGTTTCTCATCTCTTTTGCTTAATAATTCCAAGATGATAGATGAGAGAMTGTAATAAAGCAGGATGAATTTATGCTTATGCTACACACAGGCATTGAGCAAAGGCATCAAGGTGAAATGCTGGCATTTCATCAGATGTCCTGAGGAAGTGACTGACTGGCATCAGGTGCACACCTACTTCATCTCCCAAACAGAAATAACTGTTGTACTGAACTACAATTAACAAAACTTGTGAGAAGAGAAAAAATATCTTGAATTGTACAAACAGCAAATGTTTACCATTCTGATGAATGAAGGCCAGAATCACATCTMACTGGAGTTTAAATGAAGCAGAAAATAGCCTACACCTGCTTTGCAAGAACAGATAAGGCTTCTCTACTGACATAACTTCAGAAGTGAAGAAATRCTGCCAATCTTCCTCTACCATGTCATATTCAAAATAATATTAGAATTGGCCACTGACAGCTGGGCCCACTTATTAAAAGCTAAATTAAAAGCCTAAAAGTAGAATCTTTCCTTCATTTCTTCCTCCAGCTGATGACTTTAGCAATACTTCAGAAAAATRAAATAAGYAAATACAATTTTGCAGTCCACACARTTATTTAGTTGTATTTGTACCCTGGGTTGAATTGCAAATTCTGCCCTGAATATTGCATGAGGCTGCATGGATTCTCCGTGCTCTGTAGATCTCTGCTTTCTTTTGACCCATTCTTCAGCAGGCAAGGAAGGATGTTCAACTACTCCTGATTCCTGATTCCTGACCCTTTGGACAATAATAGCAACAAATCACTGAATAAAACCCATTGGCCTTTACAGACAATGGATTTTCTTCATATGAAATTCATCAATAGTGCTCTTGCTGAGTATASAGATACTTCATCTAAATCTATCATTGAACAGACCACCATCAAGCAAGACTTTTTTTACTATTAAGTAACCAAAGGGGCTACAGGAGAGGTGGAGAGGGACTTCTGAAAAGAGCATGGAGAGATAGGACAAGGGCGACTCTTCAGACTGGAAGAGCGTAGGTTTGGATTAGATATTGTGAAGAAATTTTTCCCTGGGAGGATGGTGAGGCCCTGGCATGGGTTGCCCAGARAAGCTTTGACTGYCCCATCCCTGCRAATGTCCAAGGCTGGGTTGGATGGGGCTTTGAGCAATCTGGGATARTGGGAGGTGTTCCTGCCCAYGGCATGGAGTTGGAACTTGATAATCTTTAAGATCCCTTCCAACCCAAACTATTAATGGATTAACTATCCAGTTATTATAAGATCTTCTTTTACATACAGGATTTGTACAGGATTTAAAAAAAATGTCTATTTTTATTTGCTGAGTAATTTGAATTTATTTTGATACGTTTTCAGGATGGTTAAAATGGGATTAACTAAAGAATGTGACAATATAACTTCAAATCACCAATGTAAATAAAATCTCAGAACTGTGAAGTTTTCCTCAGCATTGCATTTATAAATAAGTAAAAATAAAAATTAGTCAAGTGGTGTAATAAAAAACTGTTGCTGCTGCTGCAAAGTACTGAAGTTTGATGAGGCTTTGACATAAACAAGAGAAATAAAGAGCGTGAAGAGACAAAGAGATGGTCACAAGAGACCAGTGATGGTGTCACTGTGATAGCTGAACTTGTCCATGTCCAGCAATGACTGTGAGGTGCCATGCTGCATGTACACCTGAAATCTCTGCTTTTKTAAAGAATGAACCAGTGAAAATACTTACAGTACTCCTGCCTGCCCCCACAAATGGCAGATAAAGTCCAGTGTCAGAATCTCAAGGGTAAAACCCATGTGCTGGTAGGTACAGCAGAGAATTGATCTTCATCATCTTTGAAGAGCAGAAGAAGCTGCTTGTGTGGATTGATCAAAATCCATGGAGAAATGTCCAAGTTTCATGTAGTGAGCCGTAACATAARTCCATGATGAGGCCTTAACAGTATTTGGCAAAAAAAAAAGAAAGGAAAAGGGACATACAGTAATTGCAAAAATTACAATGCAAGCTGATGACACCTAAATGAGAGTTCCAGTCCTAGATGGGAAGGAAAGGGTCAACTCCTTCATTCATACCAGAATCTTTGCATAAATCCAGCATTACTATGCAGCACATACTTATTCTGTACACACTTTCAAAACCCCATCAGGCAGTTTTATGCATCACCTTTTCTCATGAAGAAAAAAGGGATCCCTGCAAATCACAGGGTTTTGGTGATCCCCTTGCTCAAGTATCTCATTATTCTAGGGCAGGATTTGTTAATTTTTGAGGCAAAACCTCTCCTCCTGAGCTCATCCATCTACAGATGTATATCGTTAATCATCTGAAGTTTGCACAGACTGCCTTTGATCTTTTAACAGAACTTTTGAGAGGTACTGAAGGATCTATCAGGAATACTGTCTTCCCTTTAGTAGAACTATCTGCCTAACCTATTTCCTTGTGAGGTCATGACATCCTTCAAATTTAAATCAATCAGAATCCAGATTTTAGAACAACAGGACAGCTTTGAGGTTTCAGTTTGTGCTTTTGGGACAGTGTGGGGAGTGATTTCCCTGCATGTGGTTTGATTCACACAGACCCCTCCTTGTTACTTTTGTTATMCCCTTTTGATAGCCCAACCTATTGGTGATGGTCCCTGTGATGAGAAAATCTGGATACAGGGGGAGGGAACAAGAAATAAAAGCAGTGGCAGCATGAAAGGCAGTATCACGACATAAAAAATACCTGCTCTTGATTTCTTTCCAAGCAGTGTGGTCAGAGATTGTTTTAAGGAAGAAATTGAGATGACTTTCCACTTCTGAATACCCCCAGGGTAAGAGAAAATGCTTGTTTAAAGCTTTCACAAATGGATCATTTAAACTGCCAAACAAGAAGGGATCGGCGGCAAAACTGCACTTCTAAATAATACAAACCAGATGGGACATTTGTGAGAGACAGGTTATACAGGTGTTTAGGAGGAAAGCTTTTACACAACAGAGTTTCTGGAGGAAAACTGGCAGCAGGACACATGAGGAGGGATGTGTGCACAAAGTGAAAGGCTCCATGGAGATATTCTCAAAGCAGCACTTTGCAAAAATAAAAGCAATGGAAACCTACATTTATCACAGATCAAGACATCCAAGAATTTTCATCTTTATGCATCAAGTTTAAAAGCCCAACCCATTTACTGGCACATCCATTTACAACCAAGTTATTTATCCTAAAATGAACCTCATTAAAATATTAATACACATTAACCTTTAAACTATGACTGCCGGATTTTAGTAATCAAACCCCTATTGAAYAAAATGAAGGATAGATACCTGTGAAACTTTGCTTGATTGCCCCTAAACGAAAGAAGAAAATGTTGCATTAAATTACATTTTCAAAGTTGTTTTGCTGTTCTAATGTGTAAACCACACAACCCTTATTAAGGAAGAGAAAGCTTGACACATCCATTTTGAAATAATCTGAGAGTATTGGTGAAAATACTACAAAGTGAACCCCAGGAACAACTGAAATTTAAAAAAATATTTCAACCTAGTCTTTTGAGTTGCACAAACATTCATGTGGGACAATTCAGTCAGTGCTGTGATTAAAGAGAAATTACTTTGTCTTTCTAATAATGGTAGAAAACCTGCTCACACCTGGGCTGCACTTTTTCACCTCAACCTTTAGCTTCTACAATCACTCATTATTGATGTTTGTGTCAACCCCAGTACCTGTCTTCTGTTTTCCCCCCTGCTATCTTTTCTTCAAAATGAGAAAATAAGAAAAGAAAAAAACCCTCCAATCTTTAGAACAATAACCATGAAAATAAAGTGCTGATCACCTCATCTTGTTACCTTTGTCCTGTCMCTGGTTACACTCACTGGTTGTGCATTATCTGGAGTTTCCCTCTGAGCCTTCAGCTGATTCCAAAGGCAGATCCCTGGTTTTATGGTTCCTTCTGGAGCTGGGACTGCTGTGACAGTTCCTGGGCAAAGCCCACCTGATCTTCAGAGAGGCCTAAGGATATTTCTATAAGAAAGRATAAATAGAACAAATCTTGATGATGATGAAGGTTTATTTTGCTTAAAACTGCGAATTTTAGAGTCAGAAGGTTCTTTAAGTAATGTCTAATCAGAGCAACAGAAAGGATGGACTCAAGAAGATGTTCATGGCAAAAAAAACCTCTTAAAATCTTTAGAAAAGGGAAATACAAGACTAAAACTGAGAGGCAAGGAACATATTTGGTCTCCTGGTTTGTTCAGATACTCCTTGGCTTTGTTTTTCTAAGCAATATCATCTGTCGCTCCTTCACAACTGTATTATTATAATACGATTTAAAAGTGAGTTTTCTCACCAGGCATCATTCCAAGCCCTCACATCTGTGACTTTTATCTTACTGCATGTTTGCTTCTAAATTTGAAAAAGATATTTAGCTACAGGTGTTAATTCTTCCCTGGTTTAGCCCCAGGACCTTTGTAAAAACAAACCTTTTTAACTTTGAGCAAAGCTGGGTATATATTAACAAAGAATACATTTCATGCAGCATTAGTAAATGCCTTTTACAGAATAAGGAATAAAACAAACAATTTCAAATAGATTTAAAAAAAATCTGAATGCTAGAACCTTCTCCCAAATAAATACAGTAACAAAATCACTGATGTTTTTTCGAGAATAAAAGGTAAAGAAGGTTAAGACATTTAAAGCACTTCTTGCATCTAATGAAGAATTTGTCTTCATCAAGATGCATTAGTTTCAMCTTTTAACCTTCATTGTCATAAGAATAATATTTTAAATGCATTTCAGATATGAAAAGACACATTTAAACTACTGCTGGCAATTCCACTGTTTATCTAATGGCTTAAAGTGCTGAATTTTGACAAATTTTAAAACCGATATGCTGTTTAACATTATCATTTTACTGAACAGAGAGCTTATCTTCCACATTTTAGTTTACTTCAAATAAAAACAAAAATTACAAATCAGAATGGTTTACCTAGTGTCAGCTGTGGATGATTTGGCTGAAGATGATACTCCTTTTYTTGATCTTCCTTGTTTTTATGCTTTTTTTCTTAGTCCAGTCTCTACTTTTATGCTGATTATATCTTGTATTAATGGAATTTGTRAAAGTTCTTGGTATTCCTTATTCTTGACTTAGAAGAATCTGTTAATGAAAGATCTTGCAGCTGATGACTCTCTATTTTATCATCCTGTAGAGCAACTGCAGGAACTGCTCTCATCTCTCATYTGCAGGAGCAGCCCTAAAAAGCACAAAACCTAACCAATCTTGAGTAATTAATGTTATAAATGATTTAAAACCATAGATATTATAGTAAATAAAAGAAACTCTGCACTTAGCCAGTACTTTTGAATTATCAAAGGCTTTTACACACGTACAACACCAGTAGTTGAAGCCTAACATGCAATTACAGTAACATGAAATTTAAGATTGATGTTTCTGACACATCTTAGTTTTAACTTATAAAAAGTCAAATGAAATCTTTGATTTATCATTTATATTAAATAAAATAGCAGCAATTTTTCAAGTTTTAATTACTGAGCCCATAATTATTATATTCAATGAACTCATTATGAACTATTAGAGTCTGGCATGCCCAAACACATTTTAACTTCATATAACTAAAAACAATCCCAAAGGCTAATTTTACCATCCAGAACACTGAATATAAACAAGGGTGTATTAGTTTTATACAGGGAATGGGCTTATSTACCTGTTCTTCCATTTCTTCTCATGCTTATGCTTTATTTTAAGAGATGTAAAATAGTACCATGTGAAATCATGATGTTCCATTGAGAATTTTTAGCTGATTTGACAAGAGTAGTGTGCCTTTTACAAAAAGACCTGTACAAGGACTTGATTGCTGTTTCTCATGAGAGGCAGCCTCATCAATAGCAGACAAGAAATCTACCATTTCTGTTGTTTTCTCCTGGGGATCTCAGGGGAAAGAGCTTAACATCTGTTCCAGGCACTGAAGTTAACTTTGGATCCATAAATCACCAAGTCTGTTTCTCTCCTGCCAACCTCATTTCACCCTCASTGGGCTGCCTGCAATGTGCATGGAATGGATTAGGAAGAAATGGCAGAAATCACAAATTTCAGGCTGAACTGGGGAAAAAATGAGGGTGGAAGGAGCCATAAAGATCACCTTGTTCTAACCCCCCTGCCATGGCTGGGGACACCTTCCACTGGACCAGGTTGCTCCAAACCCTGTCCAACCTGGCCTTGAACACCTCCAGGGATGGGGCACCTGCAGGYTCTCTGGGTAACCTGTGCCAGGGCCTCACCACTCTCACAAGAGTATTCTTACTAATATCTAAACTAAATCTACCCTTTTTCAGTTTAAAGCCATTCCTCATTGTTCATTCCCTCTCCATTCCCTCTCCATCTGCCCCTTAAGGCACTGCAAGGTGCTGTAATGTTCCCCCAGAGCCTTCCCTTCTCTAGGCTGAGCGGCTCCAGCTCTCAGCCTGTCTCCACAGCAGAGGTGCTCCAGTCTCCTGATCATCATTGTGGCCTCTCTGGACTCCCTCCTGCAGCTCCAGGTCCCTGTCCTTCCCATGCTTGTGTCCCCAGAGCTGGGTGTTTCAGTGTCAGGCTGTTCCTCTGCTACCACGGCCAACCCTGCCCCTGTCCACTCCCAGCTCAGGACAGGGTGACCAGAAGGGCTGTGTCTGTGTACGTGTGGCACCTGAGGACATGGTTTAGCACTGGACCTGGCATTGCAGGGTTGATGATTGACTGGACTCAATGATCCTACAGGTCTTTTAAGCTCTAATGTTTCTTTTTAATCTCTTGTCCCTTTTCCCCTCCCAGCCCTGGCCCCACAGCCCTGCTCTGAGGGGAGGGCAGCAGTGGGAGGTGTTGCTCCCTTCCCCTCAGAGGGTGGAATGGAGCCTCTCCTGGCTTGATCCCAGTCACTGACTGTAGGAAAATCCCTGGGAATGGTTCCTCTCTGATTTTCCCTGCATGGTCCCTGTATCCTGCCGTCCCCAGGCAGTGTTTTCCCCTTTAGCTCCATGTCTGTGTGGTACTCTGGGGGTTAGTGGACATTAATTGTGTCCCTCCSTGTGCATTTGGATTTGAAGACCATTTGTCGCTCTGTGTTTTTCAGCTTTTAATGTGTACATTTAACTTGGCAGGTGTAAGATGGGAGGCAGGGCCTGTGATTATCACAGAATAAAAGAATTGTTCAGGTTTGAAAAGACTCAAAAAATGCAGCCATTAACCCAGCACTGCYAAGTCCACCACTAAACTGTGTCTCTAAGGGATCAATGCMTTTTTTTAAACATTTCCAGGCATGGTGATTCCACCACTTACATGGTCACCCTGTTCGAGTGCTTGACAGCCCTTTCAGTAGAGAACTTTCCCCTGATATCCARTCTGAGCCTTCCTTGACCCATTTTGAGTCTGTTTTCTCTCATCCATACTGTTTGCTACCTKGAACAAGAAACTGATCTCACCTGGCTGCACCCACCTTTCAGGTGTTTGTGGAGAGGAAAAAAGTGTCCCCTGAGCCTCCTTTTCTCCAGTCTGAACACCCCCAGCTCCCTCAGTTGCTCCTCACAGGACCTGTGCTCCAGACCCTTCCCCAGCTCCCTCCCTGACATTTTGGGTGACCTCTGTCTTTGGCCACTCTAGAATAGACTCACCATGAAAAAAAATTATACAAGGCAGTAGATGAAAATAACCATAAAGATCTTTGTTTGATCCTTGTCACCTAGTGTCCCACTTTTGTCCAAGGCAAGGAAGAAAACGGCTCAGGGAGATGATAAGAATGCATTTAGTACAGCATCAGCTCCTTCAGGGGCTTCTCAGGCTTTAGTGCATGGTTTGCTGAGCCAGAAGCACTGCCCAAGTCTTTGATTAGCGCTGATGTGTTTCCTTCAGACCCAGAACTATGTGAAGATACTTCTAGAGGAGTGTGGGCTTCCCCTGGACATTTCCCTGGTTATTCTCAATTGGGGGCCCTTTATTTTTCACRGGGAGGACAGGCACAGATGGTGCCTCAAACCCAGGTGTGCCATTTCTTTAATTTTTCTGGTTTAAATACTTATGAGAGTCCTTCTCAGCTGCTGCTGACTTGAGAGATTTGTTTTCCTGTGAAAGTGACATTTTCTGAGCAAAAACAGCAAGGCTGTCCTGAGAGTAATCCTTCGAGCAGCATATAAATGGAGTGATTAATCCGCTGGATGCACTTCTCTGTAATTATAAGTAATTACTTTAAAGTCAAATCTGCAAATGAGAATACCTCTCTGTACGGTAGGGGAAGATGTAAAGAGCAGCTGAAGTGGCTATCTTTAAAATGACATTAAATCACTGATTGTTTCCCAAGRCAGGAATAAAGAGATAAAAAATGCGGTTTTTAAAGTGAACTTGCAAGTTAGCCTGACACCAAACCTGATTCAGTGATATGATGAAGGGATATTTTACAATATAAACTTTGAGAGATTTTTAATGTTAAATTTTAATTAGCAAATAAAGGTAGAAAACATGATTTTTTGCTGTCTGGAATTAAAATTAAAGTATAAATGCTATAATATTTTCAAAACCCAACCCTCTGATGTGTAGAAAATCACTCATATCTATCAATTTAAATATAAARATACTGAACAATACCTTTCTTGCACCTATTTTGGTTTCACTGTTTTACGCTTGAGCATGGTTCAACATTCTTGCCTTTTCAGTATTGTATGGCTTTTTTTTTAGAATCTATGACTGAATTTCCTGAAGTTTCTAATAAGCTTCTTTTTAAATAATGTTTGCAGTTTCTTCTATTTCTGTCATGCCTCATTAAGGTGATCCTATACACATGTTCACTTAATTAAGGCTTTTCATTAAAATAAGCCTTTAATCCAGAGGTGCTGGRCCTTAATTGAAACTCAGAGAAGATTAGTGTCGTCTCTTATTTTGGTTTTCACTTTTACTGTACTTCCCACTGCTTCTGAACTAAAATRCCTGTGTCAGCCTTAGCTGACACATGGTCAGGAAGAAATGAAAATTCATACTGCAGTCTTCTGGAGAGTAACTTGCCTTAGTAATTGCCATTTCTTATTAAGTGCCACCTTTTACCAAAAGCCTCCACTTCAAATGCGAAAGGTTCCTTTAAACACTCCAAACATCAACATAATGAACACGCTGCCTGTTTTGAAGGTGACTAGTAAGTGACTAATGATACCTGGTTTTATCCATGTGTGTAATTTTAAAATGTTAATTGTATGTTTAAATAGTGCTGAAATCACGGATCTGTCTGGAGTGATTGACTTTTACAGAATCCTTTTTGAGAAGACTTAGGAAAAAAGAGGATTTTAGCCACAGGTGAGTTGCACTCAGCTGAGACACTGTACAGTGTAGCAAATTTTGAAACCTTTTTGGAGGAGTAAGACACAGACTCAACAGCTTCTGATCTTCTGGAATGAAATGCATCAGCCAAGGAGCAAATCTATTTYCTTCTTGCAGATCTTCAATTGAGCATGGTGCTGCTAATTAGCAGAGGCAGGTGGCCTGCTGTCATCAATGGCAGGAGAGTAACTTTTCAAGAAGAGCTATTAAATGATGTGGGCTGAATAAATCTGATACAGAAACAKCAATGCTAGGGCAGAGGTTTGAAGCAAACTTTTTAGTAAAKGAACTGTAATGAGCTTCACTGATATTGTGTCTTTACATCATGGGATTTGCTGCCTGTAATGCCTGTTTTTATGCTTAGTTGTGTTAAAAAGTGTAATAAAGTATGATTTTTTAAAATCAATATGTGATAAGTGAACAGAATGGAGTACCGTTGTGCAGGTTGGTCCAAACTGAATGGTGGTTTTGGAAAGAACACGTTATAATCATATGTGTTGACACAATAAGTGAAGCCTTAAGCTTGTCCCTGGAAGGGTTTTTAGGTTGTTCCAGGGATGCTGGGCTGTGTCACTGCCTCCAAACCAGGCTCCAGGGTGCAGACATTGAGAGGATGGATAAACCTTTGCATGTGTAAGCACACAGGTTTCCTCTYCCACTGGAAATCAGGATATTTATGCTGCTGGAAGTCTACAAGCCARTATTTGTTCTGAGAACCAAGTGCACTGCTGTCATAAACAGTGAGAGCTGGGTCTGAATGCTTTAAAGAGGAATTCCAGCTTGAAATACTTCTGCTGGCTGGGGAGAGCAGGTTTTGGCAAATCTGCACATGTGAGCCCTGCCTTTGACTCAGCAAGGAACGCGGTGTCACAGAGCTTT